CGACGATTGACGACCGGCGAAAGACGAACGACGAACGACTGACGACGACGACATTCGCTAAACGACGACGACGACGACGACGACGAAGACGACGACGACGACCCCATCTGTATTGCACGCGCGTCATCCGACCTGTGTGCATCTGGCCACAGGCTCCCCCAATGGCAGGCATGTGTCGTGATGGCCGCGACGTTGTTCTCTGGCGCCGCGTGGATCGTTCGGCCTTGAACGATATGGTGTTTCCTCGATGGTGGTTTTTCCTCGATCTGGTTTTTCCTCGATGGTTTTTTCCTTGATCTTTCAATGAGAATGCTTGTCCTCGATCTCGGACTCCGGGGCCCGTCATCGGGCCTGAGTCGTTTTTTGACGGTCCTGGGGCCCGTCGCAGGCCCCCAGAGCTTGCAAGTAACAAAAAAAACTCTGTCGTGATTTATTCATGACCCGAGGGGGTGTGAAACTGCGCCCCGAGACTGCCCCTCGAGCTCGAGGCTGGGGCCCGCGCCTCGGTCGGATACCGCCTGGGCCAGCCCGCTTCAGCTCGAAGCCCACCTGGGCGACCGACGCCACTCCCTCATCCTCCCCATTGTCCTCCTCCCCATCGTCCTCATCACCCTCCTCCTCCTCCTCCTCCTCCTCCTCCTCCTCCTCCTCCTCCTCCTCCTCCTCCTCCTCCTCCTCTTCCTCCTCCTCCTCCTCCTCCCTCCTCCTCCTCCTCCTCTCTCCTCCCTCCTCTCCTCCTCCTCCTCCTCTCCTCCTCCTCCCTCCTCCTCCTTCCTCCTCCTCCTCCTCCTCCTCCTCCTCCTCCTCCACCTCGTCCTCCTCCTCTCCTCCTCCTCCTCCTCCTCCTCCTCCCTCCTCTCCTCCTCCTCCTCTCTCCGCCTCCTCCTCCTCCTCCTCCCTCCTCCTCCTCCTCCTCCTCCTCCTCCTCCTCTCCTCCTCCTCCTCCTCCTCCTCCTCCCTCCTCCTCCTCCTCCCCCTCCCCCCCCCGCCTCACCCCTCCTCATCCTCCCCCTCCTCCTCCTCCTCCTCCTTATCATCATCCTCCTCCTCCTTTTCCAGTGGCTCTCTCTTGGCCCTAACCAATCAATGGTCGAAGGTGCTGCGAAAGAAGGCCCCCAAACACCACCGACCACCTCTGCCCCGCACCTGCAGGACGGAACCCGAATGCCAGGACCGCCGTGCAGGGGCAGGGCTGAGGCCCAGGTGACTGGCTGCCCCCCCGCCACCGCCCGTAGGCAGTGGCCAAAAAGTCCGCCGCCCGCCCACGGTGGGGCGGGCACGCAACAAGAAATAATTACTTCATAAGTGCTGCAGCCTGGTCCACCATTCAACCCCCTCGGATTCAGGGTGGGTCATGGGCCACGGTTGGGAGACACGTTGGCTTTTCGGCCACGGGAGCTTACCTCTCAGCAGCTGACTCAACTCCTCTGCTGCTTATAAACCTTCTGGCACGGGGACGCTAACGCACGAGCCTGACCCGAAGCGTAGGCCCCGCACGTCATGCAAAACACTATGGGAAGATCGGTTTCCAAGACTCTGCACACGTATAGCCTATGGGGAGGGGTCATGGATGTCCCCGAGCTTCATCAGGGACGGGGTCAGGGCCGCACATTTCCCAGGGGCCGATTTTTTAGTAAAACACTTAGCACATCTTACACAACGCCAACGATTCCCAGTCCAGAGCACCCGGTGAGCGCGGCTGCTAAGTGGCCTCGGCTCTAATGCTTCAGAGACGTTTCAATCTAGCTTCCCGCACAGCTCTTGGGCTCTCGGGATATCGACCAGAATATTTGCTACACCTAAGGCCACCCCATGCCAACCATCCGGACACGCTTCGTAGCGATGTATGCTTTCAACAACTCTGGGATGCATATTGGCGCCGTCTTTAGCGTACTCATCTGCACGGTCATTCCCTTTTCGACGCCTCAAAGCCTTCCCAGTGAAGTGCTCATCCGTGACATGGCCCTTCACTTTGAACAGCCGCCAGCACGGAAAGTTGCTAGAATACAGCGCACGCCAAACTTCTGCCAGCGGGCTCTGACCCGAGGCGGCTTGCAGCGGGTCCTTCTCGCCCGACAACAGGCTCTCACAGTCGATGTGAATGGCGAAGCAAACGGGATCATCTTCATCATCATCATCGGGTACGTCATTAAGGTGTCTGAGGCACTGGAAGAGACCGTAGGCTTCTGCAAACACAGCCGACTGGGGAAAAAAAGCCTGGACGATTACTTTACACAGCTTTCAGGAAGTTACCTGCCTCGTCAACAGCAATCACTGCCCATCCTCCTCGAGCTACCAACTCAGAATTGCCTCCGAGACACGATCCATCATAATAAATGAAATCGGGAACCTGAGACATCAACTCAGCAATCGGCCCATCTGGGCCCGCATATTTGGCTTCTCCATCCCACAGCGGCTCAGGAATGTCATCAGGGATCGGAAGCCAGAGATTGCTGAAGAAAACGTCGTTCTCTCCAGCTGCTGATCCTGCTTGAGCCCACTCCATGGGCATGAACTCTTCTCGCTTGTCGCTGAAGCACGGGCACTCGAAAACTCTGCGCCATACACTGTCTATGGAGCCACCTGCCACCTGCCTGCAGAAAGGACAAGGAGGCTCCACCTGGCACCGCCACCTATGAAGATGGCCGGCCGCAATGTAGCTTCTAGTGAACACCTATTCGATGATGCGCTTGATGTGCTTAAATCTGTTGCCGTTCCTATGGCCCTAGGAAGATCGGCCCAGAGGCCCCTGGGGAGAATTTCACCAGCGCGCTCGTGTTCACTAGATTCGAAATGCCTTCGCATACTGGAAGCCACGAACTCCTTACCTAGGTCCTTGACGAAATAATTTGCCACTTGACAATAAGGTGTGGCCGTCAATATACGTGGACCTCCACCTCTCATAGTAAAAATGCCAGGGCATCTGATGGCCCAGGAAGCGGTTTTCAACCAGAGCAGCATATCGCCCACTGGCCCCCAAGACAAAAAATCCCAGGACTCCGCGGTCGACGATCTTGGTAAAGCTGCGTCGCCTTCTGGATGTTTGACAGCTCCCCAGTCGATAAACAATCCCCAGGGCGGTGTTGATCACCAGGGGCCAACCAATACTCCTTGGCGAAACGTCTGAGGGTTGCTCCTGCATGCCGCAATGGATCCTTACTCGGTTCCAGTGAAAAGGCCAGATTCGAATCAGCCCCACAACTAGTTAGCCCAAGAAAGCCTGCGGCTGGCGAGCGGAGACGACGGACTTCGACAGGGATCCACCCCACCACCACCTCCCCGTAGGTAGTGGCTGGTTTCACCCCACAAAACCAAACCTTGGCTCGACTCCTTCTTGGGTTTTTGAGGCTCTTAATCTTGCTCAATCTAGCTTTCTACGTGTTCCACCGTTCGCGACGCTTTTTCTTGACATGCTTCCGCGTCTTGTGCTCTCCTGGGCTATAGTCTACACCTAGAGTTGTAACCGAGACGTCGTATTCGCCCGCTCACTGGAGCCCGTGGTGCAATATTTCTTCCGTGAGAAAGTAAGATTGAAAAGCTGCGAAAGATGATCTATCAGGAACGCGAGCGCCAGCGCCATGTTGTTCATACGTGACCCGATGGCGTCGCCTCTCGAATTCAACGCATAGCCGCCCACGTGGACTGCCAGACTCGGGTGGAAACCTTTCTCCGGATACTTGTTGACTGTTGGAATCCAATATAATTTGATATCGGATGTCGCCGTGCTGCTGCCTGCTGCTATACCCTGATGCGGCTGAATAAACTTAGACATGGCACCGCCCATGTCGACCACACGCCCCCACTCGTACGCACACAGAGAGAAGCGAAGAGCAAATAGGGGATGTTGCCAGTCTATTGCCGCTTGCACTAACTGCTGGCGTTGAACATGTTCGTAGTATCGGGTAAGGTCAGCTGACAGAGATAGCACAGGACGCTCTTCACTTAATGCCAAATCTCCTCGGGCCTGCTGCCTCCAAACTGCGTCCGCAGGCGAGCGGCCCGCCCTCATCGCAAATACCCCTACATCCTGGACGCGATGTTCCCGTTCCTTGCACGCCCTAGAATGCCACCTGGAAAGCATTCTGGCCAAACTCTGATAAAATCCAATCGGGCGTCTTCCAGGCACAGGCTTCCGAAACAGAGCTATAATCAACTTTCGCAGCCAGGACGGGGATGAGCCGAGCACCGTCATCAGGCCCATGACCTGGCTGAAAACTAGAAGCGCGCCCTCGCACAACTCGTGAATGTGCCGAGGGTGAAAACCATATGCTGCTATGGTCGATCGCTTGGGACTTCTGCTTAAATGTCGGATCTGCTCAAGGGTGGGAGGTTATGGGATTACCATGCCTTCAGGCCAGACCAACTCCTTCTGCTTCTTGGCCTCCCCCCCCCAAGCCTTGCACCATTGCGGCTCCTCCTCCTCCTCCACTTGTCCAGTAAGCGATGGGGCGGGGGAGGAGTAATCGCCCGTGGGTAAGAGATCCTGCTTCCGATCCTCAGCCACCTCGGTGCAGGCGTGAGCCCACTTCGCCCCTCCAGACAGCGCCTCCGCGCACCAGTCAGCCCACTTCTGGGCCGCCCCCGCCTTCTCCCTCGGCAAGGATAGAGCGGCCTTAAAATCCACAAGCTGCTGGAGGGCTCAATAACTATCTGCAACCGCATCGACGAACTGCATGAAGCTGGAGTCCCAGAGCGGTTCCAGAGCAGCGCGGGGGGTTCCCATCCACAGCTCCAGGCCCCCAGGATGGTGCAAGCGAAAGATGCCCCCCGACTCCGTCGACCGATACGTGGCATTCAGGAGCTCCCAGTAGCAACCAGGATCTTTCAGGTATCTGCCAGAAACTAACAAACTTCTGATCTCAGTACAGCGTCTACCCAACCAGTAGAAATCTCTCTACGGGCTTCTCGTTGGGGACCCCTTAGCACAAGAGCCCACACAGTGGGACCTCGTACAGCTAGGGCTTGCCTCCTTGGAGCCCAGGGGGGCTCGTTTGGTAGACTCCTTCCAACTCCTTCCAAGCCCTGGAACGCCACTCCCCGTAGGCCTCGTCGCGGCCGCTCTGCAGGGTGCTCACCCCGCTGCCGATGGGGAGCCTGAAGCCACCTGTGACCTCCAGAGGCTGCAAGAGAGTACTGGGCTTCGCATCTAAGTCCTTATACTCGGGTGAGCGCGGTCCGCATCCAATGGGACAATCCACTGGGAGCCGCGCAAAGCTGCGCAGCCGCTGCACACATATGTCGTCCGCCTTGGCGGCGAGCCGAAGGTAGACTGGCCTGTGCGGAAAGATGTATGACTCCAGGTCCACTCGAGCCGACTTGACAGTCGGGAGTAGTTGTTTGCCCAAAATGAAATAGCCATCGCATGTCCCAGAGTCAGACCTCATGCACGTGGCCATCGGACTTGGTATAATGCATTGTCCATTCCACTGGTGTGGTGCCAGTCCTTCTCGAAATACATGAGGTTCCGTATTGAAATCTGCTGCACACAAAAAAGGTAGCCCTTGGCGAAGCACATCTCTACCAAGGATTTGCCCCATGAGCACATTCTT